GTAGCTGTAGCAGTAGCTGTAGCAGTCTGCTGCTGCTGCTGCTGCTGCAGTGGCAACACCAAACGCGGTAGCAGAGGCAGTAGCCGTTAAAGCACTGTAGCAGGACGAGTAAGACTAGCAGGAGTAGCAGGAGGAGACGCAGCAGGTAGTCCCATGAGCGTCACGATCAACATCTTCATTGTCAAATTGTGGGCCTTGTTATTGCTTCTGTTGTGGCTACTGCTGCTGCTGCTGCTGCTGCTGCGACGTGACGGCTAGTACGACGATGTCTAGTGGGTTTAGTGTTCGCTCCCCTGGTTGTTCCACATAAGTTGTCCAGCTTGCCTGTCGTGGATTGAAGCTGCATTTGTCAGGTCAAACTTTGGTGGTCAATGTCCCACAAGGCCTGCAGGATCTTACGGTCCATGTCGAGCTGAACGCGTCTGTTGCCGGCGTGGATGTTGACCTGGAGCTCTACGACCCGGGCCCAGATACTTTCCTAGTAAGCCACCAAGATGGAATCGTGAACGACGAGAAGACGGAGGGCCAGTCGCTCGGCAAAGTCTTCAGCCTAATGGTCAGCATGATATATGGCAACGACACCCAGAAGAAAACAGCGCCAGAAGCGGGCAAGTTCAGGCCCCAAGAGATTCGTTTTTACTCCGTATTACAAGACCACTGTACCAGCCTGAACCAGCACGTGCGGAAAAAAGGAAGCAAGAACAAACGAAGGAAGAGACTGCAAGCATGAAGCAGTACTGAATTCATGAATTTGGTCGGCCACTTGAAATCAGAACTAACTCCTTCAGCAGCTCACCAGGGCTAGAACTAGAGCGCAAAAGCCCCAAAAGCCCAGGTTTGGCAACCTGGCCCTGGTATACAGCGGGGCCGCAGTTGCAGCGGAATGGCTGGATGCCGGGCACCCGGTTTTGGCTGCATGTGTTGCGTTGCGGAGGGGCTCGGGGTTTTGCGCATTCAACTTGTTGCAGCGCTAGAGGGCTGAAGTCTGAGGCTTGGCTTGTAGACTGTACCTCAGAGCAGTCTTACAGAGGTTCATGGGGTTGCGCGGCTCGTTGCTTTGAAACGGCTTCTGCAAGGCTTCGTAGTAGAATTATTAAAACGTAGAGTTCGAGGTTCGTTAAAGAAACCCTCAGCCCGAAGCCCTGCAACTCCTCTCTTGCTTTCCGTGCTGAGATCCGGTCAGAGCTATGATGCCCCAGGCTTTAGCATGCAGGCAGTCTGCAGCAAAGTCATGGGTTGCATGCTCCTGGCTCGGCCGAAGTTGAAATCTCGGTAGCAGGGTTCGAGGCAGATGGGCAGATCTTGGCGGAGCTGATTTATATGAGCGGAAATGCTGAACTTCTCGAAACCTTGAGGTGAAGTTGTAGTTTGGAGCTCACCCTCCGCTTGTTGGCAAGGTCAAAGGCCGTTTCCCATCGGACATGCTGCTGATGATGCGCTGCAAGAGCCTTGACCCACAACTGCTGAAATGCGTAGCGTTGTTGCTAAAGCATGATCGCTGCCGGGCTAATGTTTGGCTTTCCCTTGCTACTCTCCTGGACCTGTTGCAGGTATGATCTGTGTGTGAGGATGATGAGGGTGGTTCTGATGATGATCTTTCAATACCTCCCAATTCCACTTGGCATTTGCAGTTGAGGAGGGGTTTCAGGGTGGAGAGCTTTCGGCTCTGAGGTTTAGTTTTGTGAGCATCGGGTGCAACATTCCGAAGTCACGAGACTTGGGAAGAGTCGGGATGAGAACCCTTGGCCCCAGCTAGGCTGTTGGGGGAATCTTGCGGGAGTGCCATTAGGCGCTGACGGTTTCAGGGCAAAAGGGTTCCTGGAAGCTGAGATTTGATTTTTCGGGTGGATCTGACCTTCGAAGACTGGGCTGTCTCTGTCTGAACTCTTAAGCTGTTATGGTAAGTGCAACATTAGGCTAGAGAGCCGGCAGACACTTGAGTTACTCTGAGGCCTTCAAGTTCAGGACTAGACGTTTTAGAATCCTCTGACAGCCGTAAGACCTCAACCCTGCTGGAAGCTACTATCGGAGCCTTCATAATTCTGGCAGGGGTTTGGGGCATATCAAAATATACTCGCGGATTGTGCGAGGATGCTGTCCCTAATTAAGCAGACTTCTGATTTAAATCCGCAGCACATTGATCCAGGAGTGGACCACCTGGCTTCAGCGAGACAGTCCTGAGATATAGCGCTCTGCCTCAGCTTTTGGGAATCAGAGCTCGCTAGGTTTAGGGTTGAGGGCGTGGGGACTATTGCAAGCCTCGTAGCCAAAGTTGTGCGGCTCCAGCGGAAGCATGTGTGTGCTGCAGTAAATGCGCACTACCGAACCGACACCGACCGACACCTGTATGTATGGACCGGCAAACCCTGCCCGAAGACCTACAGATTTTGAAGACCTCATGACCTCGCAAGGCCCAACCCCTGGGCCAAGCAAAGAGGCCAAACTCCATACAGAAAAGGCCTAAACACCACAACGAGTCCAAGGCCATGGAGACATCAGCCCGTGCCCGGAGGCTGCAGATCACACCACGGCGGCGTTTTGCATTGAACAGGAGTACGACATGCATATAAGTCCTAAGATCGAGCAAAGCATGAAGAGATGCACCTGCCATCTGACAGAGACAGATAAATCCAACTCGGGGGAGTTTTTCAGCATCACGAACGCGACAGCAGTGATATCGGCAACTGTTGCAACAGCCACAGCGTGCAAATCAACCCTGCCAACGGAACTGATGCATGGCGGGGAACGACTGATAAATTCATGAAGCGCTTCACAAGTTCAAGGCCCGCAAAGACTTTGGAGCCATGCGGTTCTATTCCCGCTCGGCTGCTAGGTACTTGGCCATGCTGGTTGAAGCAAGCTTCAGGTTGCGGGTTGGCGGGAACCCTTTCCGAGACGACAGCAGCCGCGGATAGTATCCGTGATGACGGTAGCGAGGGGAAGGTGGAGAAAGAACGGAGTTCGGAGCAACAGGGGCGCGACGAAGAGGACTCAGGCCCAGCTGCAGCCGCAGGAAGTGTCCAATTGCAAGGCAAATCAGCTTACCATGACCGTACGTGAAGAAGCCACAAGAGCAGCAGCGACAGTGCCAGCAATACCGGCGCCGACAGCAACTGCAAAGCCAACCATCGATAACACACAACGGCGCTGGTGCTGGTGCTGGTGCTGGTGGCCGGGTAGTGCTAGCAGCAGCAGCAGCAGCAGCAGAAGCAGCAGTTGCACACAGGAACAGCCTGGTGAAGGAAATCCCAGGCCCTGATAAGATAAGGATGGCTATCGGCTATCGTTAACACCGTCATCACAATCGCCCTGATCATCGCATTGTCGTTCAACAAACCATAATCAACCACAAAACCAGCTGGCATTCACCGCAGCGTTTACCACCATGATTGATCACCATGCTGTCGTTCTTGTGAGTGATAACCATTAACCATCGTAACACGGGTGACATGGCAACCCTCAGCCCCAAACCCCTAAGAGCAGTGTTGTTTTAGTGCAATACTTCGGTATCTTTATCTAACCTCGCCGTGAGCTTCGTTCTCTGCAATGCGAGAGGGGAAAACCCCTAAGAGTTTTGTCTCCCCCGTAGTAGGAGGCAAAAGAAACCCTAAGAGCAATCGCCGCAGGCGCCTCCGGGCTGTGAGCGTTTCAACGAGTCGAAGACCGCAGTCGACGTTGCAGCCTCCGAGCAGAGTTTAGGTAGCAAAGCCAACCTATGTGCTAAATGTATATATATATATATACATATCATACATGTTATATATGTATGTGTAGTATACTTTCATTTTTTGTAGATGATACCACATACATACAAACAAACACACACACACATATATATATATATATATATATTCTATGTGTGTGTATATGTAGATGTGTATATACATATTTATGTATATGTATGTATATGTATGTATGTATGTATGTATATATATATATATATATTTTTATATTTACACATGTACAACCCACGATAATGCGTACTTATAACTTATGAAGATGTCAGGTTTGTTGAGGGTGCTTCACCAGCTCCCGCGAGCATGATTGAGAAGTCCGAGCATGTTTTGAGGGAATGAAGCGTACATGCAGGCACCTCGGAAGCTGTAAGGCTTGGGGCTTCGTCGTTTCGCGCAGGCCTACGGCTCAAAGGTAGCGGAATGTTGGTTCAATTGATCCCTCAGTGTCCTAGACTCGGCCCTGTAAGCCCACTGAGTGAACCTGAGCCTAGAGCAAGGCTTGGCGCACGTGGGCGCTGGATCGGTTCGGACGGGCCGGGGTTCCTGCAGCCTCAAGATGTTTTCGTTACAACTCCTGACTGCAGTCCCGTGCTTAGGCTTCCACACCGTAGGCAGCTCGAACTTTCTCAGTCACCAAGCGGCTGTCTTTTCAATTTGTTCTAGTCCTGTTCATGCCGAGTGTTGATTGCTTGAACTCGACCACAGGATTTTGGTTGAACCGAGCTGAATCTTTGCTGATACCTGTCACATCTGTTCGGTCTTGGGATGATAGCTTCAGTGGGGCCCGCTGTTGTTTGCAGCTCGATGTCTCACGTCCGAACAAACCAACACGAACAGAACTCGTCTGAAGTGTGCGGGCGTGAGCGGCGAAACTTAAAAGCACTCGAGACCCTTTCGTGCTTCAGCAGGATTAGCAGAGAACTCCAGTGATGCGGCTTGGAAGACCCTGGTGGCCCCGACGGCCGACGCAAGAGGCCCGCTGGATGTGTTGGAATCGGGATTTGTGGAAAGTCAGAGGCCTTAGGCCAGATCCTCAACGCCCTAAACCCGCATCCCTCCTGGACCCTGAACCATCCAACCTGAATCCGGAGTCGATCAACTCGCGCGGATTCGAAGAGGCGCGCTGCCCTGGAGCCGCTTCCAGAGCTTCTGGAACCACTGGCCGAATGCCGGGCCTTTGCTTTGTCTCTTTCTGTGTCTCTGTGTATGTGTGTGTGTGTAAATATGAACATATAAACATGAATCTAAGTATAAATACAGATAAGTATGTAAATGCAAGTGTATATGCATATATATATATACATGTGTCCATGTGCTTATGTACGTAAGTAAGCGTGTATGCATGCGTGCATGCACTCATGCATGTATTCGCGTGTTCGTGCGTGCATGTGTGTGCGCGTGTGCGTTTGCATGCGTGTTTTGCTGGTGTAGTGGGGCAGCCCCACTGTGCGGTGGAGGCTGCGCGAAGGCGAGAGAATTTTGCTGCAGGCTAAAGATTGGGATTCATCCGAAGACGTGAAAGTCTTGGTGATGCTCGTAAGAATGCATGCAGCAGCAAGGGACACCATGTAATATGTAACGCGCGGGACAGTCGCATTTCGAGTCTACAGTCTAAATGATGACCCCGCGTCGTCGGTGTGCCGATAACGGCAATCTTGAGACGGCATGACCTGTACCTGTAACATGAATGACGATAACATCGCGAGAGCGGAACAGACCGTGTCCTTCACAATGTGTATGTGTGTATATGTATGTATATATATGTATGTATTAACCAACTAATAATCACAGACAGTCCTTTCTGTAATTATAGTGAATGATACTACATAAGGCTGGTGCTGCTGATGATGATGTAGTAAGAGTAACACCACCCACAACAACAACAATAATAATATTAATCCCCCAAGTTATCACCCTGCACGAAACATTGGATTGCAGGTGACGCCCTGGAGACCCGCTGCGCACCTCATCGACACGGACGGAGACCAGCAGATGAGTCGGGCGGAGTTCGACGCAGCTTATGGCATCGGTGGCCCCGATCTCATAGTTGCCCGGCTCCTGCTAGGATGCAGCCGTGTTTTCGTTGCTTGTTACAAGTATTCCGGCTTTTCGACGGTATGTGCTGCCCTTCGGCGGCGGAGAAGACACTTTCACAAACGACGTCTGTTGTTGCACATCTTCTGCTGTCTTGTGCCTATGGCCTGTGGCTGGATCGCCAACGTAGCCAGTGAAACAACGGCTCGTGTTGGGATTACTTCGAGCAGTACGAATGCAGGGCTTTCCAAGCTACAGTCGGGCACTCGCAAGGCCAGCGATGTCATTTCCTCTACTTGCACAGACGAGTAAGAACCCGAGCTTGTTTCTTATGATGAGAGCAGAATACTGCTTGCCATCTAGCGACTTGGCCCAGAGATGCCCAGAGTATGGTCGCAAATACTATGACCATTTAAGGCACTTAAGCGGGTTGTTGACCAGGACTCTGCCCCATCTACACAATGTCAACTCAACGATCATCTCTAGTCTCTAGTACTAGTACTTGTACAAGCCGTTCCAACCTTGGGGCAGTAGTATGGCTGCTGCGGTCAACACTGTTGACATGTAGTGGTGACCACTTCGTACTGAGTCTGAATCGCGGGACCTGTCAGTAACATCATTGTGAAAAGCATGAAGTCAGCAGCATTGCTGTTATGGTGATTCCATGTTTCTGTTTGTTTGCTGAAAGGCAAGACCCCCGGGCACACGGTTGGCACAGCAGCTGGAAAGCTGGAGCTTTTGGCTCATCACCGTGGCAGGGGTCGCGGCCTCCATCGCAGTTCTGGTCATCCTCTTCCGCCTGCACCTTTGCACCCGAGACTGGCGTGGAATATAGGGGTCTGCGTAAATCGTAATGGTATCCCTGTTTCGCCCCCGAAGAAGTAGAGTTGTAGATGCCCCAGTTCTAACTGTCCAGATCCTTATAGTAGTCTTACTTGGTGTCCGAAGCACTGTTTTGTGCGAAGCCGAGCTGGTTGTTGTGTCGGACTCCCACAGAGATGCAAGGACGAGGATCCACTTACAGCCCCTTGCCGGACGGTGAATCCGAGGAGGAGGTCGAGGCAGTGTCCGATGGCAGTGGCACTGGGAGCGACAAGGAGGTTGAATCTGCTCGGGGCCCTGGTGACCCTGGTACAGTGGAGACTCAGACGGTGCTTCTTCAGCAGGATGTGAACAGAGCAGCGGATGCTCTTAGCCCGCCCAGCAAACCGCACAGGTGGATCGAGGAACTTGAGCTGCTGCCCTTGCCGGCAGCGTTTGCGCCACAAGTGCATTGGTCTTTCGAGCAGTCGCACAATGAGCCCGCCCGAGCCCAGCCGCAAAGCCTGCGGCAAGTTCTGGATCAAGATCTGAGATGGCAAAGTAACCAGGCTCAGAGCTTCCATCCTGTACAAACACCGCAGTATCCACCTGGAACTTTTGGCGCCATGCTTTCCCAGACGATTGCGCATTCGCCCGGCTCTGGGCAAGGGCTGCAAGGGCCAGTCTGATCATGAGACGGCCCCTTGGCTTTCACCCCCTAACCGTGCCGTTCATGTCCTCGAGTGCAAAAACTGACCGTTGAGTCGATCCACAGGCATTTCGGGACTGCCACTGTGTCATGTTCCCTGGCTCTAAGCACAAACGGTCACACCTCGCCAGGCTTGTCCCAGTTGCGCGTGCTGCAACACGAACAGTCAGTACTGAGAAGGGAAACTGCACAGGAAAGCCCTGTCAGGAGCTGCAGGACTTGGAGGACTACTACTTCAAAGCCGACAAGGACCAGTTGCTTGTCGTACTCATCGTACGGTGCAGATCCACGGAACTCTTTCTTGCATTCCTCTCGCAGGATGCCAAGATCACTAAGGCCAGGCAAGTCTTGCAAGAGTGCGGGGGTTTGAGTACTCCCACACTGCTCCAGTCGGCAACACAGATTGGCCAACTGAGCTTTGAGAGGGACGTGGGAGCCAGGCGTTCCACGCTGCCATGGAGATGTCGGACAAGCTGCTTGCGCAGCCTGCCATGTCTCGCCAACAGGCCTGCTGCACATGTAGGCATTCCCAGAACCGGAGGGTGGGCATCATGCTGGGCATGCCAGGATGTCAAGTCAAGAGCGTCCGGGCCCCCATTCGATGTGGATCGGCCTCTGGTTGACATCCACGGCTCTTGTACTGGGAGCCGAAGGTAACCTCCTCATTGCATTATTGAGGCATCAGCTTCGGGGAACCGGCCTAACTGAAAGGGAATTCAGATTCGCTTGTGTAGGATTCAGGCAGTCAGAGAGGGCGGGTTTACAGCAGGAGCATGGCGAGCAATGCGAAGTCTGACATGCACACCACCACATCCACGAACCGCATCACATCTCCATGCCTTCTCCAATCGATGCGGGCCCACCACTCCTGACTTACAACCTTCACCCTGGCCATGGTCGAAGGATGTTCTGTTACACTGCGCTCACGCACGGCTTGTCGACCTCATTCTGCACAGGTCACGGTTTAGGAATTAGGGTACAGCGGTGTACAGTACCTGCACTACTTGTCGATATTGGTTCTCGCCTTAAACCCCTATACCTGTAGCTGCAGCTTATCGCCGAAAGCAATTCCACTGAACTTCCACGCTTCAAAGCCCGAAGCTTTGGCGGTACGAGGCTGTACCTCAAAGGCCGCGCTGCATCGTTCATGCCCGGCGGCCAAGTCCACATAGATTTATCGTCTGAGTCTTCCCAGGGCGCTGGCTCTGCTATTCTAATCTTTTCTCAAGCATCAATCCAGCTACAAGTGCAGCCCCCAAACCACGCAGCAACTTATCGCAGGAACACTGGTCACACTAGCAGCAGCCTCGTTGACATGGGCATGCAAATGCTTGACCTTGGCGTTGTGTGCTGCAACTTGAAGTCCTGCAGATGTGATAGCAGTACTGGAGTTACGCTTACAACACGCAGAAAGTCCTTGTGGGAACAAGAGCTACTATGCCATGGTGAACCTTTGAAGGGCTTTGCTTTCACTGGTTGCTGCTGTTTTTTACGGCCAGAGGATTGCATTCACCAGACCAAGGCGAAGCTGACATGTGAGTCCTCCCACACAGCTGGTCATCTCCCCACTTTCCCTGAAGTCTCTAACATCCAAGCCCCCTAGCACCGTATTCCTGAACCTACCCCCAGGCTTGAGCCTGCTCATGGTCCTTCTCTGGGACACCCCTTGAATCAACCCCGAACTCCTTCCCGGGTGGCGAGGGCTACAAGGGGACTTCAGAGAGAACCTCCTTCGAAAAGCCTTGAGGAGGGCTTAGGGGGCGAGTCAGCTGTTCTGGCGTGACGTTGCAAGCCGGTTGCAAAACCGGTTCAATTAGTGTAGTATATTAAATTATTATTACATTATGTTACATCATGCTATATATATATATACACATACATATATAGGGTTTATAGGGCTCAGGGCTCAGAGTGGGTTTGAATTGCAGCCCAGGCCTGGTCACGAGCGCTTCGCCGAGGAGCGGGCGCTTGCGTTCCAGCTCTTGGGCGTTTCAACAGCGGGCTCTCAGCCCACTCTTCAGTCTGTCAGTGTCTGGTGTAGGGATCATCTCTTGTAAGCCTGGTGCTAACACCCCAAGCCGCTGAACCCTAAACTTCGTGCGAGCCTGCGAGTCGACGTATTTCAAAGTACAAGAACCTAAAATCGCTAAGCCCCGAGCGAAGACCTATAGAATTGGCCTTCGGGCCTGTCATGCATGACCCCGACCCTCAAGCAGCAGCGCTGCGTTTTGTCATGGCTTGAGGGCTTTAGTCGGTTTTGGGAGAGTTTTACAATTTGTTAAATTGCGGTGCTTATGGAGTTAAGTTTTTATGTCTTAGGGCTTGAGGGCCTCATTCTACAGGTTTGTTTGGTGTAGGCCTTCTGGGGTTGAGGGTAGCTCGACCTGTACGAGGCGGACTTGTGGGTCAGCCGTCCCTTGGGCCCTACACACCTATGTCCATTCGGATGCTTTAGATGATTCCTCATACGTGTATGTATGTGTATATATATATATACACACACACATGCACACCGCCTTCGAACAACACTTTTTTTGCGGTTTTACGGTCACCCGGTCCCCCAGCAGCACTTCGGACAATGACCGCCCGGCTTCTGGGTTAAGCACCTTATCCAAAGTTCTGAACTTCAAGACCCTGCAGCCTTAGACTTACCCGATCCTGAAGCCGAAAGGGAACTGCCGGTTCCGAATTTCGGAATCTGCGCTCCCGGACGCGGACGTGGCCACCTATCCTGAGATCCTGATTCGGGAAAGCTTTGATCCAAGCACGAGGTCATCAAAGTCCAAAGACACCTCATGCTTCCAAAAGCGACCTGATATCTCCCGAACCCCAAATCTTCATTTTGCTCTCGGGCTCTACGGGTTTTGCTGCTCGGGATTTCTGAGACGCGGCCGGCGATGATGTCCCAAGGCTCAAAGCACTATAGCGCTGTTGGGGCAGCAGGGGCAGAATCTGGAGCCCCAATGCGTTGAGCAGCTTGCATAGCTGAAAGCTGTCATAGCACCGAATCCCAAGCCCTATTCAACTTGTTGTTTGTTGCGTGATGCAGGACGAAGTTTCAACCCATGTTTGCGGCAGTATCGGAGCCAGCCCAGTGGCAATTCGCTACGACGAGACCGCCTTTAGCTGCGGAGAAATAGTACTTGCACGTCTTGAATAGGGGAGCCCCATATAGAGACCCTCAACGAACACACCAAGTAAGGTGCTCCTGATTTTTCTGAAGCTCCCTCCAGCTCCGACGCCAGGAGCACCTCTCCAAGGCGTTGAAGCCTGGATCAGAGCCGGGGTTGCTTGAGCTTCAGGGCTTTTGCTAAGGTAGGCCTAAGCTTGGGTGTTGTTGGGGCACTTGCAGACCGTGGAAGTTTCACCACACTGTTTTTCGGGCCGGGGTTGGCTTCCTAACATCAAGCCCAGTTCCCACACCATTAAACCGAATATAGCCGAATCACAACCGTGCGAAGTGCACCACGAACGGAAGCGTGTGGTAGGCTGCATAGCCCCCCTGTCTACGAACGACAGGCTAGAATCCAGCAGAAGAAGAAGAGCGCTCGAAGTGGAACTAGAACTGTGTCTTAGAGCGCCGTATCATTTTTATGCTATAATCCAGCCCGAACCCCGATTCTAATCCTTGAAAGCCACTAATGTTAGCCCAAGGCTCGATCCCCTCCTGCTGGATGCCTGGAATGCCTTGGGAGAGGCCGGCCCTGCCAATGAGGGTCACGGCGAAAGTGATGACTTCGACGACGCTGGGGGCGGAGAAGGAGGATGGGGTGGGATGCTGACTTCGTCATCAAGTACTCCAAAATCGAGCAGTGCTAACCCGACCTGCCTCCGTGATGGACCCACCCACCGCCTGCACAGTTAGGAAGCGAACCACTGTCAGGATCGAATGTTCCAGTTCTCAAACGAATGGAGTCAATTTCCCCAGTCCGGAAACGTGTGCTTGCGCCCGCCAGGTCTATTGGAACCTGCAGGAAATCTCACAGGCCTGGTCTCGACTGCCTTTTCTGATGCTGGACAACCAGGAAGCTGTTCGAATGGCAAGTCTGAGGGCTGGGGTGCCTGGCGCATCCTTGCATTCTGATATCGCAGAGCTCTTCTCCGCAGTGACTTTCATGCCAGGGCTTTTGAGCAGGCTCTGATACAGGGGCCTGAACACTTACCTACTGTAGGTTTGAATTAATACTGTAGCGACTGTACTCCCAAACCCCATTCGAGTCATTACGGCATTTGCAATCGGTTTAGGATTTAGTTTAGGTCTTCTTGGCATCCGGCTGGATGGAAAATACCAGGGTCGTAGCGGCGCAGAACAAGAGAAACCGTAAACCCTCAGCCATGCAGGAGGCAACAATCGTTGCCATTTTGGCTGAAGCTTTTGGCAGTTTTGTGCACCCGAGTCCACTCTTGCTTCCAGACAGCCATGGCGGAGCCAGCACAGAAGAAGGCGCGCACATCTCGCACCTTCCTCTTCTCCTCAGAGTCTGTGAACGAAGGTCACCCAGACAAGATCTGCGACCAGGTGTCGGATGCTGTGCTTGATGCTTGCTTGAAGGCAGACCCCAAGAGCAAGGTGGCCTGCGAGACGGCGACCAAGGACAACATGGTCATGGTGGCGGGAGA